CACAAGACATCTTCACTAAAAAAGAAAGTGGAGGTAACCCTATTTGACACAAGGCTTTTTCATTTTACACTTTTCCTTTTCATCTTTTAACTGGTTAGAGTGGATATGTAGGTGGGACATTTGTCTGGTCTTCACTCTGTGGCAAATACAGGTGCAATTCGCTCTTTCCCAATCGGAGGAACCAGACACATTGGCTAAATCTTCCGGCAGGTTCTCTCCGCGGAATTGTCTTACCTCTTCAGGGTCTGTTCCCTTTTCTTTCTTGTGGTATCTGAGTTCCGTACGCAGGAGAAGGAAACTGTCACTGTCTTACTGAGTGACTGCCGGCCCCGTGGATCTCACTTCTTCCTTTCCCGACACCGGTCTAAAATCTAGACTCAAAGGTAAATTGCTGCTCTTCCAGGATATTTCAAACGAATTCGTAGAGGTACCTGAGCAGCGAACTTTGCCTGCCTGACACTTCAAAACATAGGAGAAAGCAACTTCTAGCAAGTACAGCTAAATTATTCAGATGAGGGGGTATTTATTCAAGAAACTGTGTCAAGCAGACTAAAGAAGCTAGCCTGAATATGGAGGCAGGGGCTAGCTCTGTGGATTTGACCAATGGGAGATGCACTTGGACGCCATCTTTTGGTTACAGAACACACTGGAATGAACCAATCAGAGACAGGAAAACTCAAGTCTTCGTTTGCATAACTTTGCCTACAAATAGGCAGAATCTCAATGTTCTGCAGTCATTCTGTCCTGTCCACAGCTACAGTAACTGCAATGCCTGAGCTAGCGAAGTCGGCCCCCGCCCCGAAGAAGGGCTCGAAGAAGGCGGTGACCAAGGCCCAAAAGAAGGACGGCAAGAAGCGCAAGCGCAGCCGCAAGGAGAGCTACTCGGTCTACGTGTACAAGGTGCTCAAGCAGGTCCACCCGGACACGGGCATCTCGTCCAAGGCCATGGGCATCATGAACTCCTTCGTCAACGACATCTTCGAGCGCATCGCCGGCGAGGCGTCTCGCCTGGCGCATTACAACAAGCGCTCGACCATCACGTCGCGGGAGATCCAGACGGCCGTGCGCCTGCTGCTGCCCGGGGAGCTGGCCAAGCACGCCGTGTCCGAGGGCACCAAGGCCGTCACCAAGTACACCAGCTCCAAGTGAGCGCGCCCGCTGCTCCCTTCAAACCCAAAGGCTCTTTTCAGAGCCACCTACTTTTTCATAACTGGAGCTGTGCACTGATGAGCCCGGTTCCATTAGTGGCACCCCTTGGCAAAGCGCTTCACCTGTTTGTATTTACTTGTCTATAGTGCCGTACAACGTGCATTCCCCGACCGTCCTTCGTACTGCCTGTAAAGTGGGCACCTTTTTAAGTTTGTTGATAAAGAGTTTGGTAGGTGTTTGAAGAGCTTTATAAAACTGGTAACCCATGAAGTGTTACCTTGTCTTTGCTAACAGTAGCGTCTGCCTGAAAGTTCTCAGAACTTTTGTTTCTATGACGTTGAGCGTGTCTTTCCTCCTCACCCCTTCCTGTTCTATGAGTTTAGATTTTCTGTTAATCCCATAAAGGAACACAGGTAGGTTGGAGCTGGGCGTGTCTAGGACCTAAACAGATTTTACCGCTTCAGGGCCCCTTTTTCATAAACTAGATTTTCAAGGGTTTTCGGTATTCATTCATCACCTTGATTTCCAATGCTATGAGAATATAAGGATTGAAGAACAACAGCCATCCGCTCGTATTCTAGCGGCAAGCATAATGAGTTATATAGAAGGATAGCACAATGATTCTTCTACTGGAGTGTACATAAGAATCACCTGGAAGGCTTGTTAAAGAACCATGCTGGTCCCAATCAGGGTTTCTTTTTCATTAGGTCTGGGATAAAACCCAGAAATTCACCTTGCTAAGACGTTCCCGTGACACACAGGATGCAGGTGTGTTAAAAGATGAAGTTCTAAAATAGTGAAAGGCACATATGCCAAGCAACGAGGTTAGATTTATTCTGTACTACAGAGTTGAACGCTTCTGAGCAGAGACTGACATGATTAGCTTGCTTTTGATGGAAGACCAGATAGATCGGAGGGAAAATGTCACTGAAAAGTGATAAAAATTCAAGCTAAAGAAACACTAGCAGCAACAGGGCCAGAGAATTAAAAAAAAAAAAAAAAATCAGAGCAGTTGAAGTCTCCATTTAGGATTTTGCCTCTGTACTGAGTGTGAGACACAACAATGAGCAGTTAGATGTCCTGGCACTAAAATATCCTAGGGACAATAAACAAGTTGACATCTCAGCAGAATAATTTCAAGTAGAGCGTTCCGGATGCTGTACAGAAATAAAACCAAATGACATGATACTGATTAGGTGATTCTTTAAAGAAAACAACCAAAAAATGAAGAAATAAAGATTCCAGGCCAAGGTAACTTGGTACAAAAAAAAAATTAGAGAAAGGAGTTTGACCTAAAGAAATAGGCTCATGTGCTCACATACTAGTAACAAAGGTAAAGTGTTAAACTGTGAAGTTGAAGGTTAAACATGTGACTGAAGGTGGTACATTATATGCCACAAGCTGCACCTAGATCATTGTGTCATAACACAGTACAAGGACTTTAAGCACCTTTTAAACTGTAATGTGGACAATGGCTTTTATAAGATTAAAATGTAGAAAGAAGCAAGGGAAAAAGACCTTATAACAATAATCATGGTGAAATTTTTAGAATTGGAAAGGACAGAGCCAAGAGAATTTACTCATGAATTGGGTTATATGAATAACTGACAATTTATTGAGTCCTTACCATACTAAACATAGTGTTTTAGTCAGTTTTATGCTGCTATAACAGAACAGCAGAGACTGAGCCACTGACAATGAAACAAAAACTATTTCTCATAGGTATAGAGTCTAGTAAGACCAAGGAGCTGGTGTCTGGCAAAGTCCTTCATGCCGAATCATCTTGTGGCAGATGGGCAAAGAGTAAGCGAGGAAAAGAGGCAGAATGCTGTGTGAAAATCTTACAAAATGAATATCGGGAAAACAGTGGTTAACAACTTGCTACCGACTACAAAGGTTAGAAAAAGCATCTGCAGTTCTGAAACCTTAACGACACAACTGCATAGTTCAAGTGCCCCCTTTTCTCTAGGTCACCCTTTTGTTATGAGAAACAAGAAGAGTTACAGCAATACAAGTGGCCAAACTACAGAGTGTCATGTGACATGAACCAGTCAAAATACTTAGCAAATAATTCCGATCAGTACCAAGCCTATAAGATAGGTACTACTATCACAAGCATCCCTCTGTTCAAGGCTTCCTAAAACCTCAAAGGGTTACTGGAAATGTTTTCTATCAGCCTAATTTACGGGTCCAGGAATGTAGCTCATTGGTGCATCTTCTGCCTGGTTAAGTAGGAGTCCCTGCATTTGATTCCTGGTAAAAAAAAAAAAAAAAAAATTAACATATGACTTACATAACACCCACAACTTAATATTTAAACTTTATTGAATAGGGTGGCCAAACAGAAGACAAATCCAAAGGATCAAGATAACACTCGCCTTTCTTATAAGACTAAAATTAAAATCCCTGCTGTTTCTTTTTTATTCCTCCAGCTTGTAAGATTCAGTCAATTCAGAGTTTAATTTTTCTTTTGAATGGAGGCTTTCTTCTGTTCTGCATTGTAAAATATAAAGAGGTGACCAATTTAAGAAAATATAGGTCTATTAATAGCACTCAGTGAATGGTGAAAAAATGAACTTACCTTATTCAAGTTGCTCTCTAATATTCTCATGTTTTCCCTTTCTTCTGTATCCTTAAATTCTGAGTTTCTAGATCTCAGCAGCTCTAAATACAATTCCAGACTGACAGTAAAGGATGCTAAATCTCAAAGGATAAATAAACACATGAAATGCTGTTTGTCCATGTGTATTTTTAAATAGATTCTTTTCAAAGGATTTTTCATCCATATATTAAGAACTATTATCCAAAGGGAAGACAGAATACTGTTAAATACCCAAGTAACACTGCCTAAAATGAGCAAATGTATCCTTTGAATTTTCAACATTTAATGAATCCAATTCTGTGTCCTTCCCACAATCCAACAGTGCAAGAGATAACAGTAAAAGAGGATCATTTAACATCACTTTTTCTTCAGAGGTTGCAAGTCAAGGTAGGGGCTGCAGGGCAAGTTGAAAAAATGCTGTCTTGTATGATAAATTTAAACTACTATATCAAAGACTCAACAATTCATGATGTTTTAAAGACAACTACTTTTCTTGTGGAACAGATTCATTATGGTTATTGTGGGACCTGACTGAGCTAGTGACTCCATGCTGGCCTGCTAATAGGCCAGACTGTGCTTCCCCCTCTCCTTATCAAACATCAAGAAAGAGCTGCTCAAACTACAAACAAATTTTCATATGCTAATTGCTAACTTGGTTAACAGCCCACCCAGGGAAAAATGGTATAAAAAAGGTGACTATAAAACATTTCCTGCATAAAGATAAGCAGTGTTTTTGGAATCTTATCCCCTGGTAGTTCTGTAAATGCCGTGAGCTATGTTTGAACTTTTTTGTTTCAACAAACCCTATAAAACAACCTCAGCCCCTGAGCAGTTGCCTCTCTGAGCTACTTGGCTTTGGGAGTGCCATCTGGCCATACTAATAAAGGTCTGTTTTCCACCTAATCCAGTGTGTTCCTTCCTGGGTGATTCTCGTGGTTGTTTAGCTCTTCGGAGAGGTTGGTAAGGTCTTTAGGCATTACTGTTTAGCTCCTTGGAGTGATAGTAAGGCCTTAGGTCTTACAGTTATCCCAATTCTGTAAAGCACCACTTCTTGTAATCAATCAGGAAACGTCTTGCTAATTCAGTCTTGTATGCCTGATGATCTGTTTGCAACTCCTTAACTTGGTAGGAAGGGTAAAGAGACAACTTTTGAATCCAGATTTAAATCCAGATTGGACAGTAACTTTCACTCCTTATAGCAGTTAGGAATTTAGTCACATGCTGAAGAAAAAAAACAGGAAATGCTGCCTCTGGCTCCAATTAGCTGTCCTGCCATGCCTTTTATGGTAGATTTTTTAAATGTGCTGACACCACACTATTCCTAGAAATTTAGACTAACATCTTTTACATTATCATGAAGAGCTGACATTCCTAGACAAATAAAATAGATTTAAGGATATAAGTATACTACTTGTAAACAAATTGGTGAGCTTTGAATTACGAGGCTTCCAACCCCCATTCCAACTCATAGCCCATTATGTATAGCAAATTCACCCAATAGCTCAAAACCGACATTAGCTACATTACCAAGGCTCTTATTGACCCCCAAAACAAATTTAGTTGACCATAGAGTGCAGTTGAAAGTGAAAAGCCAATACCCAGCAACCCATAACTCAGGACACCTTTGAAAACCTTGATTTAAAATAAGCCTTCCAGTACCCTGCCTCATTACCCACACTCCAGAAACGCCCAACGCAATTATCCAAGAAATTTAGCAAAACGCAACTCATTTTAAGAAAAAGAAAAGCGTACTCTTTATAGTGAAATCAGTAGTTGGTCCTGAAAAGGACCTTTTGATTTCAAACGACAAAGGACAGCAAGCGCTTAGGGAACTTTAGCCTCCAAAGCCATACAACGTGCGTCCCTGACGTTTGAGCGCGTAGACAACATCCATGGCCGTGACCGTCTTGCGCTTGGCGTGTTCCGTGTAGGTGACAGCATCGCGAATCACGTTCTCCAAGAAAACCTTCAAGACGCCGCGCGTCTCCTCGTAGATGAGGCCGGAAATGCGCTTGACGCCGCCGCGCCGGGCCAGGCGGCGGATGGCAGGCTTAGTGATACCCTGGATATTGTCGCGAAGCACTTTGCGGTGACGCTTGGCACCGCCTTTGCCAAGGCCCTTGCCTCCTTTGCCGCGACCAGACATGACGAAAGAGCAGATGTAGAACAAACTACACAATGCTTCTAAAGAAGCCAGGGCAACGTACTTATAATAGGATGGCGGACCTAGTTGAAAACTTGAAGCGGGAGCCGTAGGTCCCGCCCTTCTTAGTATTTTTCTCCGGGTCAAAATGGAGGAGAGGGGAGGAGCCTGAGGCAACCTCAGAGGCTGAAGGAACTAGTAACAGGCCAGTTCTTAGGGCTTCCACGAAGGAACCTGGACCTGCAGCGGTAGCTCAGACTTCGAAGAATATGAAATAATACATGCTGTTATCCTGTATTACACACTTTAAATATAGCTTTAGGCAGTTCATGTCTTTACTGTTTAGGAATGCAATACTATTAATCCATGCATGTGTAGTTATCTAAGCAGAGTTCTTCAGCAAGCAAGCCTAGTAAGGGAGCTACAGTATGTGAAGGTTACAGAATTACAGGTCAAGCAGGTTAAAAGCATTGAGGTGTGCAATGAAGATTTATAAATTTATCCCGAAGGTAAGAGATCCTAGTTCTGGGAATTCAAGGCCTATGGCTTGATTGTATTCTTAATCAAGTTCTGTGCCTGTCACCCAAGCCAGCCAGCATCATAGCATCCAGCCAAGGGCATGCTCCACAAATCAGCTGTGTGGCCTTGGGTAAGCTGTATACTCACCTTATGTAAATGATATTACTTCAGAACCATACCAAAATTGCAACTTAATAAAAACCAAACATTTTTATTTTGTATAATACTCTCTTGGCTGCACTTACCTTCACTCCTTCAAAGTAATGATCCTAAGAGAGAATTCTCATTTGCTGAATTTAGGTACAAGAAACCTGCAAAATGATAGATATGTAACTCATTGTTAAATCCCTGAGGAGATCTAGTTCTCTGGGTAGAAGGCTTAACTCCATGATCTGTGGAAAGGATCAACTTGATCACAATTATCCCTCAGACTTACAGTTCATGGAAACATTGAGGAATGTGTGCTTAACCTAGGATATATTGGCAAGATTAAAGGGATGTGGAATGCAGATAGAAAAAAAATATTTAATCTTTCTTTTTCTAACCTCCAACCAAACTTTAACATTTCTACAAAATATGAATTTAGATACAAACAATATTTAGTGATATTATATATGCTATTATTCACATTGCGTTTCAGTTGTCAATGTCTGAATATAACATTTAAACATGTGGCTTTTTCACAATGTTATTTCTTTGATCAATAGATCTGCTAATGCATTAATGAAGGAGCATTTAATTGTTAATATTTTGCCAGTTTGATGTTGAAACTATTTTGATGATGTTAATAGTTTCCCTTTGGAATTCCATGTATTTTACATATAGTATTTTAAAACCATTCTAGAAAGGGGCTAAAAAGCTTTATCAAATGTACAAACAAATGCATGGCTTGAAAAGTGAAGAAGACTTCTACAGGATCTTGAGAGATTTGAAATATTCTGTGATTCATCAATGTGCAGAGCAGCAGTAAGAAATTCTATGAATTGTGGGGATGAAACCTAATGGAGATGTATAAGGATAAATGACAGTGATTTTCTTCACTGACAAAGGGTAAAGAGATTATTTATGGAATTTTCTTGGAAAAACAGCCTAAATTTTTATTCAAACCTTAGGAATGAAGGTAAAATGTCCTAGGAATTAAAACCACTCTCCAGTTTTTTAACAATGGAATTATATCTTTAAGGTCATAGCCAAATGGCCTCTTGAAATGGTTAATTTATCTCTGGAAATAGTTTAGAAGTCTCACTGGAGATATACAGGAGATTGTCAGAAAATGTAGCAAAACTAAAAAAGGTTAAAGAAGTTGTCATTCTCTGTAAAGTTGTCGTTTGCTGTATAAAGATATTGTCCTAGTTTTGTAATTTCTGTGTTCTTTCTCTCTGGGTACAAGTTATTTTGTTGCCAGGATGATTTGTTTCTCCAAAATATGAAGGTGGCCAAAAGTCCCATTGAAGGTAAAAGATATTTTCCCCGTAACCACATTTTTCTGTGTCCCATAATTATGAAGCACATCAAATCTGTTTGCCATGCAAAACATTCCAAATCAAGGCATATTCAGCTTCTTGGATAACAAACAGGAGATGGACCAGTAACTACAAATGAAAAAGGCCTGATCCTGAGAAGAGAAGGCCCCTGAATTCCTCATTCCCTTAACGTTAACCTTTCTTTGAAAGGGAGAGCTGCATTTGGCACTTGGGAGCCAATGGCCCCACTCAGATCCTTATTTTCAATAAAGCTCATCCTTGGTGCAAGGTTTTCTTTCTCTCCTTTTATTTGTTACACCCATAGGTGTCACATTGCTTTATTTTAAATTTAAAAATGGATGCTGAACATAAATTAGATGTCATTATTAGTATTAAAATTATTTTTAAAAGGGTCATAATACATGCCAATCAGAGATCAAATGCATAAATTGGTAGCAGATACTTATTTCTTCATTGCTCCATGTCTTCAAGATTCATTCCATTTAAAATGAGTAACAAGAATCAAGCACTACAGCAGTTGCAATGCTGCACTGAGTATACTGGTGAGGAAAACCATTTGAGCATCAGTCATGATGAGAAGCAACAACAGGAGTTTAGGCTTCACAAAGCTGTGTCCCGTTCTACTACCAAAGACTCCCCATATGTATTTGTGCACATTCCTTTCTATAAATGACTGCACACGGCCCACCTGGCATGGTGGTACATACCTGTGATTGCAGTATTCAAGTGGCTGAGGCATGATGAGTTTAAACTTGGACTGCATATGACTTCAAGGCAGCCTGAACTACACTGAGACTTTGTCAAGAAAGAGGGCAGAGGAAGGAAGGCCACACCTCCATGCTTTTGGGTGTTTACAATCTTCTAGATAGATGTACAATTCAACAAGTATGCAGATTACTTGATATAAATCATGATGGCTATTAGAGAGATCAGTGTAGAAATTCAAATCAAGGAAAGGACACATCCAGTGTGAGATAGGAAATGCCATAAAATGAGCACGCCCAAGCCGCTAGCTTTATTAATTGTATATGCAGGGTAGGGGAATACTTAAACGTAAAACTATGTCCAAAACTACAAATCCCAAGACTTCTGCTGCTTTCAGCAGAAAAGTCTCAATTGAAAAGGGCGGGGGTTGGGGGGGTGTGGAGGCAGGGGCAAGGCCTCTGTGTACAGGGTCTTCCTTCACACTATAGTCAATATCATTACATCAAAGCTATAGAACCACCCCGAGGAGGCCTTTCTCTAACCAAGCTCAAATCACTAGGAACCCTCACAAGAGAATAACCTGCCCAAGCTGGGTCATGAAAGCATGGTCCTGTAACAAATTATAATCAAAGAATACTGTGCCTCTCCTTTCAAGCTGAAGTCAGAGCATTCAGCTAAGGCCAAGGGCAAGTGGGAGAGCTCAGTCAAGAAGCTCAGGAAATTGATGGGCTGGCTCATGGCCACATGGAGAAAAAGCAGGACCCCAAAAGTCCCCAGCTGCTGGAACTGAAGTGGGTAGAGCCTCCAAAAGACTGTAACAACTAAGGCCTAAAATGGCTAGGAACAGAAAATCAAAGCTCCCAGAAGCAAAGTAATCAAACACAAAACAGTCAAGCATACAGGGAACAGCGCTGAAACATTCAAGATCAATAAATTCACATAATTCACTTAAATTTTCAAAGGACAGAGGCTTCATATATGTGTGAAATACCTGCCTTTCCAACACTACCGCAGTGCTACACACCTTTTGCAAACAGGTAGTTGGCTCTGAAAAGAGCCTCTGGGTTCACTTCTTCACTGGATCAGGAAAAAAACGTTACGCCCTCTCACCGCGGATGCGTCGCGCCAGCTGGATGTCCTTCGGCATGATGGTGACCCGCTTGGCGTGGATGGCGCACAGGTTGGTGTCCTCGAACAGCCCCACTAGGTAGGCCTCGGACGCCTCCTGCAGCGCCATGACAGCCGAGCTCTGGAAGCGAAAGTCGGTTTTGAAGTCCTGCGCGATCTCGCGCACCAGGCGCTGGAAAGGCAGCTTGCGGATCAGCAGCTCGGTGGACTCCTGGTAGCGGCGGATCTCGCGTAGCGCCACGGTGCCTGGCCGGTATCGTTGCGGCTTCTTCACGCCGCCGGTGGCCGGCGCGCTCTTGCGGGCAGCCTTGGTAGCCAGCTGCTTGCGCGGGGCCTTGCCGCCGGT